AAAGAGTGACAAGCTTTCTGCTTCTGGTAGTGGGCAGGTTGGAGGATAACAAAAGGAGCACTTACACTGAAAAACGGTGTTAATCTTAACCTGCCTGACATGCTGAAGACCTTGCTTAGTGAAAAGACAGTCTGCGGATATCTTCAGAGCAAAGGAAATACAGGTGCACAAAATCGATGTGAAGGTTTATTGCCGCAGAAAAAAAATTGTAAGAGAAAAATTGAAGCTTCGAATTATTCTCAGCTCCAAAAGGAGACATCTTGATCCTGCAGTTAAGCAAAGGTTTTTACAAATTGCCCAAAAATTCAGATAAAGCCATGAATTAGAGTCATGAAACTGCATCTAGGCTTTCACTTAACAAATGTGTCTATGGGTAATGATTGAAAATTACAGTTCCCTTTTAATCAAAAAAGTGCCTATTCCTTGAACAGAAGACTAGTCAGCAATGGTTTTTAAAGCACAATGAACATCATGTTTCTGATTTTCTTTCTTGGGCTTTTTTGTTGTTGTTGCAATGACAAAAGAGGAGCAGCACTACGTGAAGGAAGTGTGGTTAAACCAGACTTTAGAAATTCCATGCGTTCAGGACACGACCTCAGAAAATTTGTCCAATTATCCTTTGAAATGGCTAGTGGTAAGTATTTTTCATCTTGGGTATAAATTTCAGAAGGAACTACAGGGTATTTCTGCAGATTGATGTAGAAATGTTAGACTTCACTGTTCTGCAGAATCTGCTAAACAAAAGGTATCGGTCGTGTTGGACTGTGATAATAAAGAGAAAAAGTACAAACATGGTTTTGTGACATAGACACCACAAACAATAGCTGTTAAAGAAACAAAGAAGGAAAATTCCATCTTAATTGCTTTTAATTTTCCAGGAGTGCATGTAGAACAGATCCGTGGAAAGTGGCAAAGAACTTAGTGAATGTAACAGAACTAAAATATTCCCTGTGTTGGATTTCTCAGGGATTTGTGCTGTAGTGAAACTTTAGTATCTACAAAAAATACGCAGTTACTGCGTAGGATAGTGAGATATCAGGACACTGAAACAGAAAAATGGGGCTGACTAATGTTTTTGGTTTTGTTAACCTCTGTATCACAGATGCACGACAAAGACGTGCAAACCCAGTTGTCTAGCTAACCACATAAAAGCTATTTTTAAGTAATTTGCTGTGAGATATAAAGCGCGTTATATTTTTGTACTGCATCTCACTTTCTGGATAAATATTTGTATGCATGTTTTAGTGTAACCTTTTAGCATTAAGTTTAGTATGTAGAGATATGTATCAGCCAGCAGTGTCCTTGAGCTTTGCCTGTTAATTTCTATCTATTGTCACTGAGGAGCTGTAACTGTTGAGGGTTTTCTTAAAGGTGATTTTCAAATATTTTAGATTTTTTTTGTCTTTTGTCCCAGCTCATTATCTATTTAGATCTCCCCTTTGCAGTGCATTCTTAATATTAAAATTCTTGAAATTTTTGTAGGGAACATCCTTGTCCTTACCACTTTTTAGTATTGCTTGTTCGCTCTACAAATCAACAGAGGAAGGGGAAAAAAAAACCCAAAGGTCAGCACAATGGCATATGTGGGTTGCTATGTGTCCTTCAGAGTATAGCTTGCAAATACGTACGGAGGCACAGATGTCCAGGATGTACTAGCTGCACCTATATCTAAGGGTGGACAGCACTCAGCCATTAAGAGAAGATGACTTCTAGCTACTATTAACAGGTTCTTGCTATTCAAAATCTAAAAGAGCATGGATTTTCTTGCAATTTCAGTCATGCTTAATATGTATAGGATGTTCAGCACAACTTAAAGATTGCTGCCATAAGAAAGCAGCTCAGTTGCCCTCCCTGCAAGCTACAGAGACCAGGACTCACAAGACACAGCTATTTACTCCGTAGTTTATTGGTAAGATGATGACGGCTATTGGTTTTGAAGTTCTGGGAGAGAACGTATTTGGAAAAAAATAGATGTTGCAAATGTCCACTTACTACTATGCAATGCTAGGGGTGCAAAGGAAGATTTTCATAGTGGGAATAGAGCTGGTCTACAAAAATATTTGGGGAGGCTGGTGGTGTTTGTCTGGTCTTCACGCATTGTGTGGGTTGCTCTTTTCACAGGGGGAAAGTGGCAGGAAAGAGGAACTTGTGACCAAGGAGCCCTCCTGCCCTGCAGCGTACAGGAACGGCAACGCGCTGTACAGGCAAAGAGTCCGCCTGGGTTTGAATAACACTCTAATGATTTTCCCCACCAAAATCACGGATGATGGCAGGGTGTTTTCCTGCCACGTGACCTACCACCCGGAGAGAGTCCAGAAGAGCAGCACCACTGTGAGAGTATTCGGTAAGGGGCTTGTGCCAACTGCCTGCTTACTTGCACTTGGAAAGGTAACGCTCTTGTCTGGTTCTGAAGGCAATAGCTTTTGAAATACACTGGCTTTTTTTATATACATATTTACATTTTTTTTCAGCTGCAATGAGTTAAAGTGTTAGTAAATAACCCCATAGTTCTTAAGAAGAATTTGAGGCCATTCCTTTAATTTCCGGTATCAAAAACAGTGGATCCATTGCACATATATGAACACCACTGGCGTACGCGTTGCCACTATCTCACCCCAACGTGTAAGCTCATGTTGGCACTTTGCAGGTTACAGGTAAGCACCTTGGTGATCAAGATCTGTGTGCCCCAGTTACAAAATGACCGTGCTGCCTGTGGTTAGGAAATCGTGGCCAAAATTTAGGAAGTAGCTAAAGCGGTTTGGAACTACCTTTGTTGCAAAGTCGCATCCTCGAAGGCATGTGATGTTCAACTGCTGCCAAAGGCTCTGGTTCTGAAAATGAGGTCCTGCCCGGGGCTCTCAAACCAGTCAGGAGTGGCTGGGCCAGTGTACTGCAAACGCATGGGCTGGCATTTCATGCTGGAAGCCTTCCTCTTCTTTAGTTACTTGCACTGTTCCCTTTCTAGTGGTTTAGGAACTACTCTACAATCAGAGATACAACTGAATCAGAAAAATGCTGCCCATTGAAAACCAGGCTGTATTTTCAGCTTATAGAGCAGTGGGTCTGGAAAACATATTTCCAATGCTCTTAAAGGAATGGGTGTTAAGCAGTGGGTCTGTCAACAGTCCCTTGAGTGTAGCTGCTTACCCGAGGAAACCCACAGCTTGGGGATGGCATGGTCATGCGAGGCTGATGCTCTGATTCAACAGGGAGCAGGAAGAAATAAAAAAAAATAAATAGAAAAGCAAAACCTATGTCTGGGGGATGTTGGTCACTGACGCAAGAGAAACAAAAATAGAAGTTAATGATCTGAAATTTCCTCTTGCGTTTGCATGATTCAGACATAGGTCTTACTTTTTAAAATCAACATTTGTCAAACAGCTACAGTGTTACCTGGGTAATCATACAAGTATACAAACATAATTGGACTCTCCCTCCCCTCCATCCCTGCTGATGTTCTCACCTTGGTTTGTGACTCTGTTAGCCTAAGAGGTTGCTTTATTTGGCTTATTCTCTGAATTACTGTGTCACGTATGGTTGTCTGTGCATGCACCCACATCAACCTATTAGTACAACAGGGGAGAGAGGCAAACAAGAGAAAGCAGCTGTGGCCCCTGCTGGTGAACACCCTGCGATGCTCCCAGTAAGTGCTGGCTGGCTTTGGACAGCGGTGCTGTGCCATCAGGTGTCCTGAGGGCAGGGCTGGATGGAGGGGCTCCCTGAGAGCTGGTTTGTGGTGGATGCTGAGGAAGGTCTCTCAGACCTCAGGCCAAGGCAGTCCAGATCTTGGAAGGAAGTGCATTTTTGTGCTCCTAGCTCTTTCATGTCAGCTATTTTGCAGGTAAAAATAACTATATTTTGCATGCTGTCTCACTCTTTTCTGTTACCATTCGCTGAAGTCACGCTGCTTATGATTGCGTCATACCAGCTTTTCTCCATTTACCTCTCTTGTGCTGCAGTGGGAGGGGAGACCGAGAGCAGACGGTTCAGAGCCGCCCCTGCACCAGCCCACACACCCGGGCACTGGCAGGGCAGGAACTGGCAGAGAATGGGCAGAGACGGTGGCCAGAATAATCCAGCAATCTCCAGTTGACATTTGGTGACAGACAATCAGCCACTTCAGATAACAGCACCTTTCTTGTTCCTCGTGCCAAAGCTGACAAGGGAATGACGAACTGAACATTTATGTCCTAGCAGGCAGTTCCAGCCTCAAATGGCCAGGGCAGAATCTAAAGCATGATAGTAAGCATATACAATGTCATCAGCACATTATTTTAGTTATATCTGTTGTCCTGGCCATTAGAAAGGATGTAGCTAGAGAACCAAGGCCAGATGAAACCTAGGGAGATTTTCCCATCTCAGCAAACCAGCATCCGCCCTTGTCACCCAAGCACTGGTGCAATTGAACCCCACGGGCTGGGTGGCATGAAAGAAGGGCAAGGGAGGGCATGCAGCTGGTGCACCATGGTGCGTAATGGGCAGGAGGAGGAGGAGGAAGAGAGGAAGGTACTGTCACCTGGGGAAAGCTCCTTGTGCAGGATCCCTCTGACAAATGCTTCAGGGCTAAACACAGCGGACACAGCCCAAGTCAGGGGCAGCACTGGTGCTTGCCCACAGATGCTTTAGGTGCCCTGAGTATGGCTGAGACCTGGGCCAGAGAGGATGGGGAAGGTATGAACAAGTCTTTCAATGAAGTTGAGAGTCTTGATAGGTTGAGTAAAAACAGACATTCAATTCAGAGAGCTTTTTTAAGAGCGTGCTTTTGGACTGAAATAGTTTAAAGTATTTCTTTTCTAGAATGGAGTTCTTTTAGATACAAGTTTCTGAGAAAATGTATGGCCTTTTCACATCTAACTTTGCCAAATATTGATTTCTCCTTTTTTTGTAAGAGTAAAAGCTCAGCAGCAGAAACTACTATACTAAATATTGAATTTCTGCTATACCCAAAACATTGGTAAATATCCTAGCAAGACAAATGAATGTCAAACTGTTAACAGAGGCTGAGATGTTAAATGGAAAAGATCTATTAGATCATTCAGCACTGTGCTTGAGTGCTGCCTGCCAGAACAGTTACCCAGCAAACGCATCTTCTGAGAAAGCAGAGGACAGCATCCAATACAGATGTGGAAAAACATCCCCGTCCTCATCAAAAAACAAAGGGAAGAGCAGGCACTAGACTAGACGTTTTTAAGTCTCCCAGCCAACTTTTAACTGAGATTAGAAGATGCAGTTTACCAGACTTTTTCTTACATCTGAAAAAGTATGACTGACTTCTGCCAGCCCCACTACCATCTGTACAGTTTTGGCAAGGCAGAAACAAGGATGAAATCTCAAGACATTCATTTCTGATAGGAGGAATCCACAAAAAAACCTCCAAAAACCCCCAAACCCAGAAGAAATATAAAAAAGGAAATTCCACCCCAAAAATACTCTAAGCCCAGAAAACCATAAGGCCATGCTAATTAATTATAAGTCACTCCCAGGCATCATCCATCAGTAACACTAGGCAGAAAAATGGACATTAAAAAAAAGAAGGTGGGGCAGTCGTTGGTGCATTCACTATATAAAACAACAGGTGAACTTGAGCAGTTCACCTCAGAGGCAAATGTAATGAAGTCACCCTATACCAATTAACAGAATTAGGAGGGGGGGAAATAAAAAAAAAAAAAAAGAAAGAAAATTATCTTAATGGTAGAGATTAAAGTGAGGTTTAGGTTGGAAAGAGAAAGATTTATAGATCTCCTAAGTAATCCTGGGGCTGCACTTGTTTCCAGTCCAGTTTTAAGGCTCAGATAGGGCCAGAAGCACAATTTATCCAAGGCTTCTGAGATTTGCTATATATTAGCGCAGTTTCAACAGTCCTTACTTAACAAGTCAGTTAATATTACTGCAAACCAGTGATCCCAATGGCTAATTTAGAAACGACAACTTAGAGAGGCTTATGGTATCTGGTAGCTTTTATCTATACAGTCATACCGTGTATCTCTACAACTAGAACCCACATGCTGCAAGAACAAAACACTTTTTCCATTTCTTGTGGATGTGGTCATCAGAAACCCACTGCTCGGATGCAAAGGTGAGCTCTGGGCTTCCTGGCAAGGCAGGAAGCATCTGTGGTATGACACTGTCACACATCTGCCCAGGCGACAGCATGTGGAAAGCTGGTACCCAAGATAGATGAATGTTTTGGGGATCGGTGAAAGCCTTTGTAGATGACTTTGGTTGGTAAACACCCAGAGGAACCAGCAACTAGAGAGTGTTTTATTTCAGCAGGCTTGGGAAGGGTGGCTCTGCTGCTGGAGCCATGACTGCAGGATGGTTTGAGCTCACTTCTCCAGCAAAGCCACCCAAGAGTAGTTTAGATAGGCAGTGAAATACATCACGGATCTCGTGGTAGTAGCTGCTGATATATGCTTGTAAACCACTTCCTTGACCTCAAATTGGAGCTGTGCAAGCTTTTATCTTGCTAGATGTGTGGGTGGATGTAGGATTCAATTTCCACTCTTTAAGAAACAAGGCTGTTAAGTCTCATTAGAAGCTGGTACTGTGACCTTCGGTATCCATTTAACTAATACATTTCTGTTTGCTTTCCAGCCTACCCTGAGATCTCTGTTAGCCTGCAGGAGGGCTCAGCTGGCACCTCTCAGAAGGTGAGCGATTTTGGAGCAAAGAGTGACATCCATGAGCGTCCCCACGCCACCCCAGCAGGGCCAGGCAGGCTAAGCTGAATCAGACAGAGAAGGGACCTCCAAACTGACCGAGCTCACAGGTCGACAAGCGAGTCAACGAGTTAATGCCAGCCATTCATGCCCTTTCTTCTCAGTGATTCCCATCCCCGCAGCAGCGAGCTGCTTCAGTGAGCACAAATTGGAGCTAGCTAAAGGCTTCTC